GAAACTATTATTTCGCCCCATTCCGCCCCCTTTCCAGCGCTGCGCTTTCGCTCCTCCATAAAAGCCCAATTTCACGCGCAAAGCAGTAAAATCATGTAACGTGACTTGCAAAATGGGACGTGCTTGATTTATTAAAGTTTATTAGATTTATTAATGTTTTTAAAAGCGTGAAAGAGCACTTGCGCTGTTCTTCAGGAGGCTTTCTGTGCGTGCGCTCAGAGACGGAACGGAACACGGACGAGTTAAATCAACTTTTAGCTCAAGGTGCACGCCTAAACACTCAAATACACGCAAAAATGTCAAAATGCGGCGCTTGGTGATTATTAATCACATAAACTCTCATCTGTTATGTAATATATGAACGTAAACCGTTGAGAGTGAAAATACGTGCTGGATCTGTGCGGCTCTTAAAGTGACAGCAGCCTAATATTCCTGCTGCTGACTGTGTGATTAATATGAATCAAACAACTAAATTACTCACTGCTCTTGACTGAAGGACTTTTGTAGCATTAATAAGAAACAAAGCCAGTTTAATTCTTACAGTGAAGACTATGCTGTTTTATTTTACATTCAGTTATTCAATTTCTGTAATAGGCTGTTGAATACTTTAGACTTGCACTGGTTGTTTCATTTGTATCTTTTTTCTATAGTATTTGTCCTTTGCTTTTTTAAATTTTTTTGTTATTACTGATTGTTTAATTATTTTTAATAATTGACTTTTTTTTTTCCTCACTAATATTAGTTGCCCTAGTATTCTGCTGTGGTATTGAGAATTGTGAAATTTCTCTAAATCTCTAAATGTCTCTAGAATGTAGATGTCATAGCAACCTTTCAGTCGATTCGTTTTGTGTTCTCTAATTATGGCCGTGACTCATTAGTAACAGATTTGATCTCACAGTGTTTCCCGCTCTCAGATGCAGGCTGAAAGCTCATGTGGAACCGATATCAGCATGAGTTTGGCCTTTTGTAATATGAACGTCTCGTGCTGTAGAGATGTGTTCTGATGAGAGACACTGATTCATCCAGTAAGAGTCCAGAGCTAAAAATGAATGAGGAGCAGTTCAGGTCATTTAAAGCGGTTGTATATCATTTTTTGATCGTACTAAAGCATAAAAATACCTTAATGTTTGCAGATATTTGGAAACATGCTAAGTTCACATACTTGTTTCTCTGAAAAACAACGCTACAGCCAGTTATTCTGCTTTGAAATGTGTCTTAATGTCTGTTTTTGTTTTGGTCTGTGTGACTCCGCCCACTGCCAGTTCAGCCAATAGGATTTCTACACTCCGGGTTGCCAGTTGGTGGAAAACAAAGTGTACTGTAGCCATGGCAGCGAGCGAACGAACTGGGTCAGAGATCGCAGATTCTACCCGACCTGAAAAGTCTCTGCATCCATCTAAAAGAGCTCTGAGCAGAGGAATATTAAAACGCAGATAAATGAACTCCTCAGTTTACAGTGTACGGCTCGTGTCCTCAATCTGGCAACCCGCATGAGCATCAAGTCTTAATGAGTTTGAACTGCAGTACCCATTTCAACCACTAGCTGTCAGTATTACATACCGCACTTTTAATGAGAAATATATGAAGTCATATCGAGATCTCAAGCTTTTGATTGCAAACACGTGAGATTACTGGAGTCTTCTAGAAAAACATCCAAGCAGCAGGAGTCTTCATTTGAGTCTTGAGAAACATTTGAGATTTTAAAGTGATCATGTTTGTGAGTTTTAATTCTTTGATTTATTCTCCTGCAGTCATGATGCTGTGATCAATATGAAACGTGTCAAACAGTGAAACATGTCACAATAGATGAATCAGTAGAGAGCTTCTTCAATAGTTAAGATTTAGAGCCACACAACAACCACTCAGAACACCTTAGCAACTGCATAGGAACACCCTAGTAACCAGCCTTTCCCCCAACAGATCTAGTCCACCTTCTGACGACTCAGATTCTCATATAGTGGCATCTTCCTGTTTGAGCAGTCGAGCGCTGATTCTTCATTCAGCTCACGCAGGACCAGCTCAGATCACACACACACACACACACTCACTCACTCTCACACACTCGCACACACACCCACACACGCACACACACACACAAACATACACACACTCTCACTCACACACACACACACGCTCGGGTCCCTCAGCGGCAGAATCTATATTTGTCCTCCTCTACAGAAATGAAAGAGGCATTCTAATGAAGGACAGGAAACGCAGTGGCTGGCTTCCTGTTTGCACTGTCTGATGTGATGAAGAGCTTTCATCTTCCTCATCTGATGGGATTCTTTCACTCTCTCTCGTTTGATCTCTCTCTGCTCTCTGGATCTGGATCAGTCCCCGTTCCTATGAAACATGCATATGTTGAGCTTCATGTGCATCTCAACTTCTTCATTCTTCTCCGTCTCACGTCTTCCCCACAATGCCTGTGATCCAAAACATGTGCAGAAGCAGCTGAGTCCTGCAGATAAACGCTCGATACCGTCCTACAGAGAAAAGACAAACTCACATTAATGTTCATGATCTCGTGCATCATTCGTCACGGTCACAGCAAACAGGAATCATGGTGAATGGTTATGAATGTTAAAGTCGGAATCTTGTTTACTCTCACATTCATATTTAGTCAAGTCAAGTTCAGGGTTTGACATCAAGGTCAAAGGTCAGCTGGAGATGCTGCGTTGTGTGATTTAAAGGAATTGTTCATGTAAAGCTGTAGTTTGTTGGTTGTGATCTGCTCGGTGTGATTCTGTCATTCTCTGCCTGGTGCAGGTTTTCACGTGTGTTTGTTTCTGCTCTGATCACAGTTTGATTTGAAATGACGACAGAACCCGAGAGCCAATCAGAGCAGCAGGGGGCCAGTGCGGCTCCGCCCCTCGACAACCAGCTTCCTCCTGCCGACGCCCACAGCACACCTGTGAGGAAAGAGCAGGTACTGTTTGCCCTTCCACTGTTGTTTGATTCTGTCTTTGATTTAGTAACAGTTCCTTTGGGAATATTTCAGGTGCATGCCAATTTTTCTTAAGGAAAGAAAACCTTTCGTTTGAAAAAAAGCCTCGCTTGTTACATTACTATAATGTTAAAGATTAAATCAACAACACAGTCCAGACTATTAAAGGGATAGTTCACCGAAAAATGAAAGTTCTGTCATTAATTACTCGCCCGCATGTCGTTCCAAACCCGTAAGACCCTCGTTCATCTTCAGAACACAAATGAAGTTATTATTGATGAAATCCGAGAGCTTTCTGACCCTGCTTAGACAGCAAAGGAACTGAAACGTTCAAGACCCAGAAAGCCAGAAAAGACATCATTAAAATAGTCCATGTGACATCAGTGGTTCAACCGTAATGTGATGACGCTACGAGAATACTTTTGTGCACAAAGAAAACAAAAATAACGACTTTATTGAACAATTTCTTCTCTTCCGTGTGTGCATTCCTCTGCTGTCATGCTACATTAAAGAGCATCAAAACGACATTTATTGTTTGAATTTTTTTGATGTAGTTGACTAAATTGAAAGTTGTGAACGTTATCAAAGAATAATGTTTACTGAAGCTTTGTTCAAAGTAGCAAAGACTAAAAGATCTCTCTGGTGATTTAAGAATCTAATTGTTGAAATAAAGAACACTAAATTATGTAACAACGATACTTTCAACCCAGACCTAATAGAAGAGTTTCTTAATATGAGCTCATGAGCACACACACAGGTGTCAGTGTGTGTGTGTGTGTGTGTGTGTGTGTGTGTGTGTGTACTGGTTTATATATCCTGGTGGGGACTTAAACCTGAATACACACAGACTCATGGGG